GTGGGAAGATGGTGCACTAACCATCTTAGACCTATTTTTCCACCAGCCCCACCCAGGGACCAGAATGTGACTGATTTTACGTACTGTTTATGGGGAGAGAAGTATAGGTCCATGGCTACTATTTTGAATTTAAACAAGTACTTATGAGGGCATGAAAGCAGAGCCAGCAAAAATGAACTGGCATCTAGGTTAAGGGATAGGTTAGAGGTGCAGTGACAAACAATTAAGAGGATATTTCAGAAAGTGCATAATAGATACATTCCAACAAATCAGAAAAATTCTAAGGGATGGACCTACCATCCATAGTTAACTAAAAGTGTCAAAAAAGCATCAAACTCAAAGTAAAGGCATATAATTCTGCAAAAATAGTTGGGAGGTCAGAACCTTGGACAGAATATTTAAAAAAAAACAAAAAGTTACTAAAGGATTACTCAGGAGGGAAAAATTAAGAGCAAGAGAAGGTTGACTAAAAAGATAAAAACAGATGGGAAATGTTTCTTCCAATATTTTGAAAAGTAAATAGTTAACAAATTAAGTGTTGGTCCTCTAGAAAATGAGTCTGGAAAATTAAAAATGGAGCATTAAGAGATGGCAGATGAACAGAGTAGATATTTTGTGTAGGTTTTCACTAGAGAAGATAGAAGTAACATCTTAGAAATAGCTGTAAATCAGGAATTGAAAGAGAGGGGAAGCTCAAGAAAATTACAGTTACCAGAGAAGTAATACGGAGTAAATTGTTGGAACTGTGAGTTCACAAGTTCGCAGGTCCTAATGGATTTCATCTTCAGCTCTTAAGAGAACCAATCAGTGAAATAGTTGATGCATTGGTTTTAATGTTTCAAAACTTACTAGCTTCGGGGAAGGTTCCTTTAGATTGAAAATTAGCTAATGTACCTTCTTTTTTCAAAATGGGATGGAGGCAGAAAGCAGGAAACTATAGGCTTAACATATGTCATAGGGAAAATCTTAGAAATTATTATTATAAAAACATTATAATAGGGCACTTGGATAAGTTCAAGGAAATCAAATACAGCCAACATGGTTTGTCAAAGGAAATCAGGTTTAACTAATTTTTGGAGTTTTTTGATGATGTAACATGCTAAAGAATAATCAGTGGATGTATTGTACTTAGAGTCCCAGGACGCATTTGATAAGGTGCCATATCAAAGGCTATTGCAGAAATTGAAAGCTCACAGTGTAGGGGGTAACATTGGTGTGTACAGAAGATTAGCTGGCTAACAGGAAGCAGGGAATAGGAGTAAATAGGTTTTTTTTAGGCTGGCAGGATGTCATGAGTGGTGTGCCAATGGGGGGATCAGTGCTGGGGTTTCCACTCTGCAATTTATATAGATGAAAAGACCAATGATATGGTAGCTAAATTTGCTGATGACACAAAGATAGGTAGGAAAATGAGATAGTAGGAACTGCCGATGCTGGAGTCTGAGATAACACGGTGTGGAGATGGAGGAACACAGCAGGCCAGGCACCATCAGAGGAGCAGGAAAGCTGACGTTCGGGTCTGGACCCTTCTTCAGAAATGGGGGAGGGGAAGGAGGCTCTGAAACAAAATAGAGAGCAGGAGGCTGATGATAGAAGGTGGATAGTGGTGCAAATTGATGGAGAGAAGACTGACAGGTCAAGGAGGCAGGATGAAGCTAGTAAAGGCAAGTGTAGGTAGGAACTGGGGGTGGGGGTTGGTCAGTGAGGTGGGAGAGCAGATAGGTGAGAGAGAAGACGGACAGGTCAAGGAGGCAGGGATGAGGGGGGGTGCTGGTCTTGAGATGAGGTCAGGGTTGGGGAGATTTTGAAGCTAGTAAAGTCCATATTGAAACCATTGGGTTGTAGGGTTCCAAGGCGGAGTATGAGGTGCTGTTCCTCCAGTTTCCGGGTGGCATCATTGTGACACTGGAGGAGGCCCAGGATGGACATGTCGTCCAGGGAATGGGAGGGGGAGTTGAAGTGGCTTGCGACTGGGAGGTGTTGTCGTTTATTGCGAACCGAGCGTAGGTGCTCCACAAAGCGGTCTCCGAGCCTCTGCTTGGTCTCCCAGATGTAGAGGAGGCCACATTGGGAACAGCGGATACAATAGACCACATTAGCAGATGTGCAGGTGAACATCTGTTTAATGTGGAAGGTTTTTTGGGGCCTGGGATGGGCGTGAGCGGGGAGATGTAGGGGCAAGTGTAGCACTTCCTGCGGTTGCATGGAAAGTGCCGGGGCTGGTGGGGCTAGAGGGAGTCACGGAGACAGCGGTCCCTCCGGAAGGCAGATAAGGGTGGGGAGGGAAATATATCCTTGGTAGTGGGGTCAGATTGCAGGTGGCAGAAGTGGCAGAGGATGATGCGTTGAATCCGGAGGTTAATGGGGTGACATGTGAGGACAAGGGGAATTCTGTTTTTGTTTTTATTGAGGGGAGGGGGTGTGAGGGCTGAGGTGTGGGAAACGCAAGAGATGTGGTCGAGGGCGTTTTCAATCACGGTGGGGGGGTGGTAATTGCGGTCCTTGAAAAACGAGGACATTTGGGATGAGTTGTGAAGTAGACATAGGGAGTCTACAAAGGGATAGATATGTTAAGTGAGTGGGCAAAGATCTTGCAAATGAAGTATAATGTGTGAAAATGTGAAATTGTCCATTTTAGCAGAAAGAATTTAAAAAAGCATATTTAAATGGTGAGAGGTTGCAGAACTCTAAGATGCAGAGAGATCTGTGTGTCCCAGGACATGAATAGCAGAGAGTCAGTACGCAGGTACAATAAGTAATCAGGGAAGCTCATAGAATGTTATGCTTTATTGCAAGTGGAATTGAATGGAAGAATGCAATTCAAGTCAGCAATGCACATCTATTTTCCTTACATGTATGTCATATCTAGATGATATCTCTGCAAATGAATAACATTCTTTTTAGAAGATGCATCAAAATGGCTTGCAGTCAGACCCCGCTGTCACATTATCTCCCAAGGAGTTATTGATTAAAATACTCACAATGAAAGACCATAGCCGTGCATTCCTTTTCTGTGAGTAGCATCATTCAGTTGATGCCCTGGATGCAAATACAATTCGCTATCCCTACTGTATAAGTATTACTCCAAGTCCTGTCTCACTGGAATCTTTTGCAGCTCTGAAAATTCATACAACTTCAGCTGCACGGTTCTGAACACAAAGTTTCATCTGGTATATCTAATAAATGCCATATACTGCACAGATAGACAATCTACAAGAGAGCTAGAGATCACATGACTACAGCAATCTAGTCAAAGCATAAGTTCAAATTGCATAGCTCCAAACTAGAAATGGGGGATATGGTTTACAGTACTAATTTAATTCAAATTTTCAAAGTACCTTCGGTTTACAGTGACATCCACAGCCTTTAAGTAAGGTTGTAGACATGCTCACTGAGCTGGTGGGTTTAGTTGCAAACGTTTCATCACCCTGCTAGGTAATATCATCAGTGCGCCTCTGGTGAAGACCGACAAAACATTTGCAACCAAACCCACTGGCTTGGCGAGCAAATCTACAACCTCATCCACAATCCGAGCTACAAATCTTCTCAAACTTTAAGCCTTTAAGTAAATTGCAGCCCAAACATCTTTAATTTTAAATTTTAGATCATAACATATCAGATTTAAGGTGATTATTATTAGGAAAACAGAAATGTGCTAACTGCTGCCATCTGCTGGCCAAAAGAAGATATTGCGCAAAGTCCACAGCTTCCTTGTGCAGGAATACACCTTAAACCCTTTACACTAGGAGCTGAGTGAGCGCAGCCAAAGGTATAAATAGAAAGAAAGAATTGCATTTCTGTCATGCCTCAGGATATTCCAAAGAGCTTCACAAAATTACTAACACTACTGCTGCAGCTATTTGGGGATGGTGCCACTCAGCCCAAACAATTGAATTGCGGGTTCATTTTAAAAGTCCTGGCTTGGCAGAATTTTACGTCAGAGATAACAAGGTGTAGAGCTGGATGAACACAGCAGGCCAAGCAGCATCAGAGGAGCAGGAAAGCTGATGTTTCGGGCCTAGACCCTTCTTCAGTCACGAAGCTCAGGGTAGTAGGAGCTCCTTCTGATTGTTCCCCTCGCAAACTGGGTGGGGTTTCTATCTTACAATGGGATCAGGCTGTATCTAACACTGGGATGGGAGTAGGATGCATCTGATCTTATGATGGCAACCAGGTCATATCTAATTATAAACAAAACACAAAGAACTGGGGATGCTAGAAATCTGAAACAAAAACAGAAATTGATGGAGAAACTCAGCATCTGCAGACAGAGAGCAGAGTTAGTGTTTATTATCCCGTGCCCCTTCTTCAAAAATCCCAACCTGCTGAGTTTCTCCAGCAATTTCTGTTTCATTTCATTTCCTTTTGTTTCACTACGTTTCCAATTCTACCTTGGAACCAGGCAGCATCCAACCCTCCAATCAGACAAGGTCGTATGCAATCCTACAATAGGACCAGCTCATATCCAATCATACAACAGGGACCAGGCCTTATCCAATCCTATGAGATGATGATGATGATGATATATCCAATACCACATTGGGACCAGGCTGAATGAATTGTCAACATTCAGAATGAGACTCATTTAAAACTGATAAGTCTGTTATACATGGTTTGATCATGATAGTAATAATTAGCCTGAACTTTGTTTAACATATTAATTCAGTCTCAAGACCTGGACATCACTGACAAAGCCAGCGTTTATTGTTAGTCCCTGCAGATGTATTCTTAATGTCACAAACTAACTACTTCAGAGGGCGCTTGAAGCTTAATGATTTTGGGGTGGAACTGGACCCACATCATGGCTCAGGCCAGGTGATGGTGTTAGATTTCTTTCCTGAAGTTGGATATTTTTATGTCTAATTTGAAATCTTCAGTCACTTTTACTGAAACCAGCTTTTTACTTCCAGGAATGGTTTAAAAAGTGAGTTCTAATTCTCCAACCACCAGTGGAGGGATTTGAGCTCACGTTCCTGACTTCTGAAAACCTGGTCCCTATCCTGATGCTCACCCAGTTATCCCTGGTGGAAGGGATGACCAGTGGGTAGTGCTGTCTGTCCTGAATAGTTGGTAAGGTACTGGGTGAAAGGGGCCATGGGAGCACCTTCAATGTAAGGACTAGAAGCTGCACCCTCTCCCCCAGCCCACTCTTCCCTTTCCCTCCCAAAGGGAAACTAGGGATGGGCAACAAATATTGACCTTTTCAGCAACACCTACCTCTCCAGATTAGTTGAGTAAAGTAATATATGATTTAAAAAGTGGCCTAAAGTTCTAGGCTTTATCAAGTGATTCATGGATTTTATTTTAAATTCTAACATTTTAGCAAGTTGATAAAAAAAAATACTAATGCAGGCTTGAGCAAGTCTCCTCTCTTTCCTTTCCCATTTTCTTAAGCAAAGCGGCCTCTTTCCTTGTAATGGTCTGTGTCTTGCACACAGGATAAATAAAGCCAGCACTGGTAGACAAATTGATTCCCCAATCCCACTTCCAGCTAGTTTCAACTTATTTTCAGAATGTAGCTTGTTAAGGATGGCTGTTGTGGCACAGCGGTAGTATTCCTACCTCTGAGGCCAGAAGGCCTGGGTTCAAGTCCCAACTGTTTCAGAGGTGGGTAATAACATCACTCAGCAGGTTGACAAGCTTTGCATGTAAATATTTAATTGACTGCATTGGTGATTACAGATGGTAGTTGAAAGGAAAAGTAGAAAGTTAGGGGTTCAATTGAAACACAGGCGATTTAGTGGTGATAGTGAAAAGATGAAAAAATGCCATTGGTGATGGGTAGGGGGGCAGGATGGGAGCTATTTGGTTGTGTATGATAACATTTCTTGATATGAAAAGTGAAAAATTAAAGGTAGGCACTCTTATGGCTTATGGTAATGTCCTACCTTTCGGCCAGGAGGCCTGGGTTCAAGTCTCACCTGTTCTAGAGGTTTGTAAGAACATTTCTGAATGGGGTTGATTTGAAAATATCTTTAAAGTTAAGGAGTAACTTGATTGAAGTTTTTGAGGATATTGTGGTGAATCCTCCTTTTTCTAAGCATTCTTTGTGCTGAAAGCCAATCCATCCTCTTCTGGGAATGACGACATTGCAGTGTTCAGTGGTTTGGAGAGTTTCAACAGTAGTAAAGTGGCAGCATTCAATTCTGCCTGTGATTATTGCAAGGTTTTTAACAGGTCACTCAGGACTGTTCAGTAGTATTCAAAGGAGACAGAACAAGTTATGAAAAAAAGAGGGATGTACCCTTTTTCGAAGAGCTGAACTGCTGCTGTACTGCGATCAAGGCAACTGATCTATGCTGAGTCTGTGTCATTAGGGACCCCATGAGATCAACAACAAGTTGAATAACTCTGTGCAGACTGGGCTCAGGGAAAAGCACAATGAAAGATTTAGATGGACTCAGAGGATACCTGTGAGCAGTAATACCTCAGCGGAGCTGACAGTCTGGTGTTTGAAAAGCTCACAAACAGTATTTGCTTGATGTAACTGAGCAAGGTTAGAGCTCAGCAAAAAGCCTAGGAGTAGGACTGACTCGCTGGGACTAGCTAAATGCTGAAGAGGTGGAGTTAAGCCCATGAGTTAATGCTCAGGGCCCAGGGGGATATAGATGCAGGAAAAGAGGATGACCAGAATGGGAGCAGCCAATTCAGTTGTCCAAAACGGGACTGGGAGGGAGGAAGTTTCAAGACCAAATCAACAGGAGTGAAAAATAATCTCTTGTGAAATCTATTGAGATTGGATGACCCATCATGTCATTGATATTACTGAGTTACTGAGAAATCCATGAGATCTGTCTTGTTTGTATTTACTATTCGCTGTGCTGAGGGATGTTTGATCATAGCATATTACCCATGCTTATCAAGTGTTAATTTTAACTGTTAGAAATCAGTTGTACATGTAGGTTTTATTACAATTCAAATTTAAGAGTAAGTACTGTTGTTTATTCAAAACTGGAATCTTGTGGATTTATTCTTTCAGTACGTCCCCTGAGTCTCATTTGTTGTAGACCTTAAAAAAAGAGTTACTGGACCCTAACAGGATTGTAACATAGAGTTGGTGGTCTTGTTGAAAATCATAATTTGGGGCCTTGTCCAGCATCATAAAAATGTGGAAAGAACTAATAGGACTAATAGAAAAAAAAACTTTTCTGCTGATGGGAGAGTTCAGAAGCTCAAAATCAAAGCCAGGCCATTCAGGAGAGAAGTTAGGAAATACTTCTTCAAGCTACGGGTAGAATTATTGAATGTTCTCCCACAAACAGTAGCTACTAGCTTAAACGTTCAAAGTCTAAGATTGATATGTTTCTCCTTGAAAAAGTAAGAAGCATTTGAAGCTAAGGCAAGTGTTTGGAGTTAAGTCAAAAATCAGCTATGATTGAATTGAAATGTGGAACTGCCTTCAGAGCTGAATGATGGTTCTCCTGTTTCCATTTCCACAGTTCCTCTTGTTGTTCTCACTCTCAATGATTTCTATCTCCTGGTAACGTGCGTGTCCGTTGTGAAGGGTGGGTAGCTCATAAATCGAAGTGTATATTTTGAGCGAGTATTTCTTTGAGTGACCAGTCCAGGCAGTAACCAAGCCTTGGCAAGTCGGGGTGGAACAGTCTGTTCGAAGAGATGGAAATGGAGAAAGTTACTGATCATAAAATTGCAATTGAAAGAAATTTCCAGAGCACATCTTTCACAACCTCAGGCTGTTCCAAATATTCTACAGCCAACAATGTACTTTCCAAGTGTAGTCGCTGATGTGTTGTCAGAAAACACAGCAGCTAATTTGTGCACAGTGAGCTCCCATAAACATTTGAAGCGATAAAAGGCAAGTATGTGTTTGTTAGTGTTGTTACTTGACGGAACAGTGGATAGAAATGTTGATATACGCCAAAAATAGGATCTTTGACACCACTCAAGGGAGATTTAACAAATTATCAGAAGACAGCACCTTCATAGTCCATCATTGTTATGCTGTCCCAATGACAGTACACATTCCCACAACACTGCATCTCTGGAAGTGCAGTGCTCCCTCAATATTGTCATTAAGCTATCATATACAAGCGATTAATCTTTAATTCCACTGACTGATTTAATGACTGAAACATATGTTTGAAAGTAAATATCCTTAAATGAGCCAGGACACTGTCTTTTAAAATGGCTGCAGAGATGGGTGACTTTCAAGAGAGGTCTCTGCATGAAAACAGTAGGTATTTCTGGGCTGTTCTTCTCCAGAGTTTCATATTTGCTGATGTTTAAACTATTTGGGGGGGTTGGGGAGAGGAAAAGTTAGGGCAATTATGAATATTGCTGATGGAAAGGGGTGGGGATGGGAGAGGGGTGAGTTGACATGGTGGGGCTTGGGTTCGGAGGGTGGTAGTGTCCTCCAATCCCAGCTGCAAGAGACCATCTGACCTTGAGTGAGGACAATGAGTGAGGGACGGGGTTTTTCAGGGTGACTGTAGTTACACACTAGTAGGGGAGAAGAACTCCCAATAAGCCACTCTGACAGTGGCAGGGAAACCAATTCCTGAACATTCTGCTGCCACCCAGTGGGAAAATGGAGAAACTGAGGGAATAGGCTGGTGGGAGGAGAGTGAGCATCAGCACAGGTTCACGAATGCATGTGAATTAGAAAGATACATTGAAAGGAAAATATGACTGGACTATGTGTAAAGAGCAGAGAGAGAGAGACACAATTGGATAACTCTCTTTCAAAGACCCAGAACAGGCATTGCGGGCTGAATGGCCCTTTTTATGTGTACTGCTTCTATGATTCACATTGTGGAAGGCTGCACTGGCATTTTTCACTCTTTACAGCAGTGAGGCACTTCTGAGATGTCGGAGAAAAGGAAGATAGCAGGCCTAATGTTTACTGAGGGCAAGAGAAGAGGGAGTTTTGGGAGAGCAACTTAGAGCGGAAGGGCGTGGGGAAGAAGTAGAAGAGAAAAGTGGATGCGGCTTGACTCCTTTCTTCAGTTTCCTGGACTTAAAGTCAATGTCAGAATGGCCACAACTTGAAGGTCCAAGATTGTGTCCTGCTGCATTTGGAGTGTAATTACTTGTTTTTACATGGAATCATAGAGCCATCCAGCACAGAAACAGACCCTTTGGTCCAAGTCGCCCATGCCAACCAGATATCCTAAATTAATCTAGTCCCATTTGCCAACATTTGGCCCATATCCCTCTAAACCCTTCCTATTCATACGCCCATCCAGATGCCTTTTAAATATTGTAATTGTACCGGCCTCCAACACTTCCCCCCCCGTCAGCTCATTCCATACACACCACCCTCTGCGTGAAAAAGTTGCCCCTTAGGTCCCTTTTAAATCTTTCCCCCCTCACCTTAAACCTATGGCCTCTAGTTTTGGACCACCTGTCCTGGAAAAAAGACCTTGGCTATTCACCCTATCAATGCCCCTCATGATTTTATGAACCTCTATAAGGTCACCTCTCAGCCTTCAACACTCCAGGGAAAATAGCCTCAATCTATTCAGCCTCTCCCTACAGCTCAAACTCTCCAACCCCAGCAACATTCTTGCAAAATATTTTCTGAACCCTTTCAAGTTTGACAACATCCTTCCCATAGCAGGGAGACAAGAATTGCACATGGTATTCCAAAAGTGGCCTAACCAATGTCCTGTACAGCTGCAACATGGCCTCCCAACTCCTATACTCAATGCACTGACCAGTAAAGGCAAGCATACCCAACGCCTCTTCACTACCCTGTCTACCTGTGACTCCACTTTCAAGGAACTAAGAACCTGCACCCCAAGGTCTCTTTGTTCAGCCACACTCCCCAGGACTTTACCATTAACTGTATAAGCCCCACCCTGATTTGCCTTTCCAAAATGCAGCACCTCACATTTATCTGAATTAAACTCCATCACCCCATTGGCCCATTTGATCAAGATCCCATTGTACTCTGAGGTAACATTCTTCGTTGACCACTACACCACCAATTTTGGTGTCATCTGCAAACTTACTAACCATACCTCCGACATTCATATCCAAATAATTTATATAAATGACGAAAAGCAGTGGACCCAGCACCGATCCTTGCAGCTCATCACTGGCTCCAAACTTTCGATGTTCATTTACCTATCCAAATGTCTTTCAACCATTGTAACTAAACCAGCACCCACCACTTCCTCTGGAAGTTCATCCATACATGAATCACTCTTTGTGTAAAAGAAATTGCCCCCATGTATTTTTTTAAATAATTCTCCTCTCACATTGAAAATATACCCCCTAGTCTTGAAATCCCCCATTCTAGGGAAAAGACACCTGCCATTCACCTTATCTATACCCCTCTTGATTTTATAAACCTCTATAAGGTCACCCCTCAATCTCCTACGCTCCAGTGAGTCAAGTCCTAGTGTATCCGGCCTCTCCTTTTAACTCAAATCCTCCATTCTCGGAAACGTCCTAGTAAATCTTTTCTGAATCCTCTTCTGCTTAATAATGTCCTTCCTATAACAGGGCGACCAGAAATGTTCTCAGGAATGTTCTTGAGTCACCGGATTTTTCAGAAGCTGTTGGTCAGGAGGTGCCAGCTATTGCGATGTCCTGTATGTTAATGCCATATGCCTACTGTAATTCCCAAATACCCAGTCTCTATGGTTGACTTACAGTTAAATTTAGTTCCTCGGTGTGACTCAATCGTCTGGACATTTGAATTGGTGACTGCAGTCTGGAAGAATCAGGAGTAACTAAACAAGGGGCAGACAGAGGAATTAACATCAATCTAATAAAGACAAGCTCATTGTACATTGTCCTAGCAGGTAAAACACTGCCCATGTCCTTGGCTAAGTGGATGACATTCTCATCTCAGAATCGAAAAGTCCTATTTCTGTCCAGTACTGAGGATGGGGTGCTGCACTATCAGAGCAGCTGTCCTTTAGATGAGACAGCAAACTGAGGTATCATGCCCTCTCACAGCCATTACTTGTAAAGCAGAGGAGGTCTGTCCAGGGCAATATTTATCTTTCTATCAGTATAAATTAAAACAGATGATTGTTATTGTTTCACTGCTGTTTTAGGAAGCTGCCCATTCACAAACGGGCTGTAATGTTTCTCATCTGATCACACTGACTGTATTTCAAAGACTGTAAAGTACTTTGGGGCATCCTGTGGTTCTCAGGGTGGAATTGTGATCACTTTACATCTTGACTCAGAGGTAGGCATACTACCCACTCTCACAGAGTCTTACTGTGAAGAAGGTTGCTATTCAGCCCATCATGTCTGTCTGTGCTGGCTCTCCAAACGAGCATCTTATCTAGTGCCGTTTTCCTGCCTTCCTCCCCTAATCCTCCACATTGTTGCTTTTCAAATAACCATCCAATTCTCTTTTGAACAACTGAAACTGTCTCCACAATATAAGTTCTAAGAAAGGGTCACCGGACCCAAAACGTTAACTCTGTTTTTTCCTTCACAGATGCTGCCAGACCTGCTGAGCTTTTCCAGCAACTTTGTTTTTGTTCCTGATTCACAGCATCCACAGTTCTTTTGGTTTTTATCCACCACAAAATAATGCATTCCAGACTGTAATCACTCCCTGCATGAAAAAGCTTTCCTCATAGCATTTTTGTTTCTCCTACTGGTCACTTTAAACCTGTGCCCTCCCATTTTCAAACTTTCCATGAGTGTGAACATTTTCACCCTAATCTCTCTGCCCAAGAAGCCAAGACTTGGTCTTGTACAGCTGACACACAGTGAAGGGGTAGGTGGATTGAGGTGTTGTGACAAAATCACCAGGATTAAGGTCATACCATCTGTATGAGCTATGCCCAACTGGAAAATGGGACTGCAGTCTGCTCAACATGTGTGGAAAAGGGGGAGTGAAAGATTACAAGGAAAACACACACAGATGAAACTGAATGGCTGAAGGGTTTCTGCATGTAATGATCTGACTTACCTGGTAAGGAATCCGAAGGCAGAGATATGAGACTGGACTGTAAATAGGAATTAATTTCTGTCTCTCCGAAGCTAAGAGAACACAAGCTGCTGTGTTCTGTGAGGCTGGAGGTGTTCGATTGGGGACGCATACTGTTCGAGGAAAAGTGAGCAGAAATACTTCGCCTAGGATAAGACATAAAAAGATTAATGTCAACCTAGATTTACCGGAATGATAGATGGACCAGAAGAATTACAGTATGAGATTACACAGACTCAGGTTATATTCCTGGAATTAAGAAAATTAGTGGATGATTTGATCAAAGTTTTCAGCATAATAGAGGAACAATTGATTAAATAGAAAGAAGCAATTTGTGCTGTTTGGTTGTTTTGGATTAAAGGCACAGTCTAAACATTAAGGCCATGTCTTATGAGAATGACATTAAGAAACACTTCTACACGGGGAGGATGGTTAGCGATTAAAATTCTCTTCTGCAAATGGAAATTAATATTTAACTAATTCGTAAATGGAAATCTGAGATTGATAGACTTTTATTATCCAAATATATTTAGGGCTACGGGATGAAACTGGATTCATAGAGTGAAGTTGCAGATCAGCCATAATCTCATTGAATGACTGAATGCTGGCAGCTGGTGAATAAGAGAATTTTAATTTTTTTCTCTAAAACTTGCTTGCTGTTAGCATTTTAATTGAAGTCTACAGTTTAGGTCCCAGCCCTAAGCGGAATTGTAACAAGAGCTTAGTAAATTAAAAAAGCAACTGAAACCAATTCATCTGACAAGGTCTGAAAGGCTTGTTACAAAAAAAAGGTTAAATTTTAAAAAAAGCAGACTCGGAGGGGCTCTTGTGGTGCAGTGTTAGTGTCCTGAAAAGAGAAAGGACTGTGGTAGGAGTATATGCCAATTTAGTCCTTGAATGCAACTCGCAGTAAAGTACATGGGTTTTTCTGGCATAGTAGCAGTGTGCCTACATCTGAGCCAGAAGATCATTGAGATTTTTAAAAATCTGCAATAGTCCACTGGCATTTGACTGAGAAATGGGAATAGGTACTCCTTTGCTTTTGCTTTTTCTAATGATTTCTCCTTCCAGGATTGGTACTTCCTCTGCTAAAGGAGAAAAAGCAAGTTACCTGGCGAGCATCTGGTATGTGATTAATGTTAATTCTATTTCCAATGTCTAAACTAGTCAACTGGTGATAAGGTTAATAAGACATATGAAAAGCAAAACATTAATTCTGTTTTCTCTCCACAGATGGTTCCAGATCTGCGGAGATTTTCTAGCAATTTCTGGTTTTGTGTCTGATTTCTAGCATCTGCAGTTCTTTGGGATTTTTTTTTTTAAAGATATTTACAGGTTAAGTGAGTGAGCAAAGACAAATGGGCTAAAATGTGAAATTGTCCATTTTGGAACAATAATAAAATGGAGGCATATTTTCTACATGATAAGAGGCTGCGAGTTTTGAGATGTAGGGAGAATCTGGTTGTCCTATTGCATGAATTCAAAAGGCTAATCTGCAGCTACAGCAAATAATTAGGAAAGCTAATGGTTAGTGGTTATTGCAAGAGGAATTTTACAAAAGTACAAAGGTTATGCTTCAGTTACGGAGGGCATTGTTGAGACCACACTGAATACTGTGTATGATTTTGGCCACTTTATTTAAGCATGGATTAAAAAAAAAGCAATGGAAGCTGATCGGAGAGGTTTCCCAGATTAATACCCGGAGTCAATGGGTTATCTAATGAGGCAAATTAGACAGGCTCGGCTTGTATCTGCTGGAGTTTAGAAGACCAAAAGGCAATTTGATTCAAACATAAATGTATCGGATCCTGAGAGATTTTAATGTATATTTAGAGAGGCTGCTTTCTCCTCTTCTTGTGAAAGAACCTAGAACTAAGAGTCACTTTAGTTGAAAATAGGGGGCCATTCATGTAGAGATAAGCTGAAAAGGTTTTTTTCAGGGAGGGTTGTGAGTCTTTGGAATTCTTTCTGTGAAAGCGGGATCGAAGCAGAGTCTTCCAATATTTTGAAGGTAGAAATAGATAGATTCTTGGTAAGCCAAGGGGGTGAAAGGTTAATGGAGGAAGGCAAGAATATGGATTTGAGGTGGGGTTCTTCTGTAATGGCACAAAGTCTGTCCAGCTGTTTCTCTGTGTATCAGATGGAATGATCACTTCAGGCCTGGGAGCCCAAGCTGCTTCCTCATGTTCCTATTTTTTTCTGCTCACTGTGATATGTAAAGTGCAGGCCTCAGATCAGTGGGAGGGTTATATTCTTCATTTTTTGGCATACACAGATGATCTGATTCAGGCAGAACAGTCTCCAAATCCACTGATGACTCCAAACAGGATACGTGAGAGAAACCTACGGATGACAATAGATGGATTGGGAAATGGGAGCAGACGAGTAGCAGAAGCGGGTTAATATGGAGGTATGTGAGGAAAGTAGACTTTGGGAAAATAAACAGACAAGGATTGGAAGTGAACACCAAATCAAGAGATAACAAAGGGTGAGGATATAACACAGACACCCTTTAAATAAATACAGAAATTCATTGAAGGTTGAGCAGTGAGATAAAGTTAGCAGAAGGTCAATAACAGTTTGATAAAGGGGAAGTGCAAAGAAATATTGATAATTTTGTACAAATATCAATTTAACCACATTTAAGGACAGTTTCATGTCTAATTTTAGAAAGGTCACTATGGTCATAGAAAGCAGTGAGTGTAGATTCACTAGGATGTAACCAAGAAGGGAATCTAGTGTTATCAGGAGAGATTAGAATATTGAGTGTTTTAACTGGAGCACAGAGGTAAAATGAAATCTTAGAGATTTTTAAAATTATATCATGTCTTGAATAGAGAAAGAACATCCCTTCTAGTTGGGGAATCAGTGATGAGGTGGCGTTGATTAAAAATTTGCAAAGAGAACCTGAAGAGAGATTTAGAACAATGTGTGTTCACAAAGGCTTATTGATGCAGGGACAGCTTCACGGCAAGAGGTTGAAATAAATCTCTTATGTGGAAAACTGAATAAGTCTATGAAAGCCAAGAATACATGTAAATGGGAAGAAAGCTGGCAGTGGGATTAGTTTAGGATTGATCTAGAAGTGTGGGGAGAGAGCAGGATAGTGGGATTGGTTTGAAGGATTATTCTAGTTACCAGCCAACTCAGATGCAATTGGCTGATGGGCTGTTTCAGTACAACTCATCTAACCCCAGCATCTAACTATTTGTTGAATTCCAGCTACAAATACAGCTAAGGGCCCTTTGAAATAACCTTGTGCTGTTACCTCTTCTGTAATGGCACAAAGTCTGTCCAGCTGTTTCTCCGTGTATCAGATGGAATGATCATTTCAGGACTGGGCGCCCAAGCTGCTTCCTGCTTGCACTGTTTCAATGGGGTCACTGTTTGAGATATTGGCTGTTTTTTCAGCAGCACAGGGGCCCAGTCTTCTGAGGCATCATCATTCACATCAAACGAGTTGGCAGCAGCTGAGAATCTGTGCAAGGGGACGTACCAAGCGATAGGCTGCAAAAGGTCAGAATATAGCCATTAACATTCAACTTCAGCAAATATCCACAACTGCATAATTCACAATCCCGTTTGTGTGGCACATCTGCTCATTACAGGACAGAGCCACACCTTTGGGATATTTCTTCGGGTTATTAAGGTGATCACTGTTTGTTCTAACAATTGGACTTCAATCCCCTTTAATCTGGTCTGTACCTTCGTCTTGTTATTATTTAGTCATACAGTAGCTTTACTGAGTGACTGCAGCAGAGAATCTTAACTCAGCAACATCTGAGATGGATTCCATTATGTGCCGTGAATTGTCCCTTTTTCTTCTGTAGAACTGAGGAAAATGTTTCATTTGAACTCCCTCTTGGAGGTAGTTCCAGGATTTTGACCCAGCAACACTGAAGGAATGGCAATATATTTCCAAGTCAGGATGGTGAGTGGCTCGGAGGGGAACTTGCAGGTGCTGGTGTTTCCATGTGTCTGCTCCCCTTGGTTCTCTACATGGTAGTGGCTGTGGATTTAAAAGGAGATTTGCTGAATTTCTGCACTATATCTTGTGAACGGTATGCCCTGCTACTACTGAGCATCAGGAATGGAGGGAGAGAATGTTTGTGGATGTAGTGCCAATCATACAGCTGCTTTGTCCTGGATGGTGTCAAGCTTCTTGAGTGTTGCTGGAGCTGCACTCTTTTGAGCAGGTGGGGAGAATTCCATCCACACCTGATTTGAGCTTGTATCTGATAGACAAGTTTTGGGGAGTTATTTGCTGCAGAATTCCTAGCCTCTGACCTAGTCTTGTAGTCACAATGTTTATATGGCTAGTCCACTTCAGCTTCTGGTCAATGGTAACCCCAGGATGTTGATCTTGGGGGAATTCACTGATGGTGGTGCCAATAAATGTCAAAGGGCGATGGTTAGATTCTCTTTTTTTGAAGATGGTCATCGCTGGTGTGACATGAATGTTACTTGCCATGTATCAGCTGGATGTTGTCCAGCCCTTGCTGCTTCACTATCTGTGGATGCTGCAAATAGTGCTGAATAATGTGCGGTCATCAGTGAACATCCCCTCTCTTATGATGGAGGGAATGTCATTGGTGAAGCAGCTGAAGATTTTTGGGCCTAGGATACCACCCTGAGGAACTCCTGCAGAGATCCCTGGAGCTGAGATGACTGACCCCCAACATTCCTGAGTCCAGTTTTGCTTGGGCTCCTGGTAAAATTTTGATTCATCAAAAATATGAAATTAAAAGTTAGTCTAATGGTGACCTTCTGTAATTATTGTTGATTGTTGTAAAAACCCATCTGATTCACTTAAGTCCTTTGGGGAAGAAAATCTACCCTCCTTACATGGTCCAGCCGACATGTGAGTCCATGCCCACAGTATTCTTAATTGCCTCCTGAAATGGCCCAGAAAACCAATCAGTTTTAGGGCGAAAACAAAGTTGCTGGAGAAGCTCAGCAGGTCTGGCAGCATCTGTGAAGGAGAAAACAGAGTTAACGTTTCAGTGACCCTTCCTCAGAACTCAGAACAGAGTTTTAGGGCAACTAGAGGTGGGCAAGAAATGTGAGCTTCATCAATGAAACCCAAATCCCATTCAAAAATACAAAAAATCTGAACATATCAGGAGCAGGTGAGTGGATGGCTGGAGAGCCATGTGCTAGATTTAATGAACACTTCCTACCTCCAGACTCACTGTCTGGAGAATGTAAAATCCAGCTCATTGGGAAACAATTGACAAGGTTTGAGAGTCTCTGCCCATTATGGAACATACTCCTCAATTCACTACCCTCTTTTATTTTACCTGACCATTTGAATTGCAAAGAGCTGTGGTACATTCTGGTCCACTCCAGAATCGGTGCTGTTCTTGCCACACGAGGTCAGATGGAAGCCTTTGGGAGATGTCAGCTACTGCAGCCCAAATCTACTTGGGGGGATAAAACAAAAGGAAGTAAACCAGGGGGGAGAACATTTCCTTCTGGCTCATAATAAATCCTTTTGTAGGGGGCTGTATGATTTGCTTCTGAGTTCCCTATCACTGTGCTGAAAGGGTCACGGTATAGTAACGATAAGAACTTTATAGTACCCTTCACATCCTCCGTACATCCCAAAACAGTTGACAGCCAATGAAATCTGCTTTTTAAAGTATTGTCACTGTTGTAATGTACAGAAACATGACAGCTGAGTTATGCAAAGCAAGATCCCACAAACAATTCTTTTATCAGCAAAAATGACCATGAAACTTTGACCAGATTGTTGTAGAAACTAACAGTTTCACTCGTCTTTTACGAAAGGAAACCTGCCATCCTTACTCTGGCAGGGATTATATGTGACTCCAGACCTATAGCAGTGATTATGAACTGTCTTCTGAGGTGGCCAAATGAGCCACTCTATTATATTATCCCTTTCTTGGGGTAAGGAGAGATGGGCAATAAATGCTGGCTTGCCCAAAGTGCTCACATCCTGAGTATCAATGCTTGAGATCCTTTCAAGGTGGTCTAGGTGTATAATATATTATCATCATTTGAAAATTGAATTTTAAAGTAAACTACATTTATGGTTTCAGTTCTACTACTTTTGTTGAAAGGTCATAAAATCATTTTGGATCAGTGAACTGAAGATATCATTTCTAAGAAAGCATGTGACCTCAGCTTCGTGCATAATAAGATACCTGCAATATTAATTGATGATGTGTTTACAAAGTTGGACTTCATTGTCAGATAGGGAAAACAGATCGGGGCAATTTTTTTCTAAATTAAAAGAATCCAGTTTTCAGATCAGAAGCCATTTAATCCAAGCAGAGAAGTTTTATTTTGTGAAGTCTCAAAGCTGTGAGCATTTGTATAGAAGCTTAAAGCTGAAATGAGATTTTGGCCATCCAATCTGGAAAGTGTCTGTTAAAGAAGGAATTAAGGAGGTAAGACTGGATTCAAGCTTTACTGGGATTGAATGAAGGATAGTTCTATGAAAAGGATTGAAATAGCATTTTGCAGTTTGTTAAGTCCTTCTAACCTGTCTTATATAGAGAGAGGTTTGTTTGTTTTCATCCTGTGTAGTAAATTTGTGTTCTTGTTATTACAATAATTTCAGTGACTAACTGCTACAGTGTCCAACTGCAAAAATTGAACTTATGATTTGTCAATCACTGCAGATGCTGCAGTCAGAGATAACAAAGTGTGGAGCTGGAGGAGCACAGCAGGGCAGGCAGCGACAGAGGAGCAGGAAAGCTGACATTTCGGGTCAGGACAAATCTTCTGAAATGGGGAGGGAGAGGGGAGCTGAGAAATAAATAGAGAGAGGAAGGGTGGGGCTGGTCCGTCCTGGGCCCTCTCCAGTGTCACAATGACACCACCCGCACACTGGAGGAGCAGCACCTCATTTTCTGCCTCCGGAGCCTACAGCCCAATAGCCTAAACATGGATTTTACCAGTTTCAAAATCTCCCCACCCCGGCCTCATCCCACAACCAACCCTCCCTCTCATCCTTGCCTCCTTGACCTGACACAATGTGTCCATCTTCTCTCCCGCCTATCTGCTCCTCCCACCTCATTGACGAAACCCCACCACTGCCTACCTGCACTCACCTATCACCTTCCCACCTAACTTCCCCAGCCCCACCCCTTCTCTCTCTATTTATTTCAGAGCTCCCTTCATACCCCACCACCATTTCTGAAGAAGCGTCCTGACCCAAAACGTCAGCTTTCCTGCTCTTCTGATGTTGCCTGGCCTGCTGTGTCCCTCCAGCTCCACACTGTGTTATCTCTTATTTATGATTTATCAAGCCAGGTTTCACTCTGCATTCCCATTAGCTGGGATCATAATTGCAGAAAGGGGCAGAATTAATTGCCCAACTTTCACTGGTTAGACATTGTGTAGTGTCGACAGGCCTGAGTGGAGGTGAATAGCAGGTTTTTGACCCAGTGCTGAATCTAGGATTTAAACTTTCCTTCCTTCTCTTTTCTGATCATTTTGGTACTTTAGAAAAAGAGTGAAAACTTTCACATAACTGGAGGGGGGAGGCACAGACAGATCCTAGCAATGTCAGGAGAAGCTGTAGTGTCAGACAGAGTAATAACATACAGACAGTAGAAACAGATGCTGATGGTAGTGATATGCTATTGATGCCATTACCTTGAGGCATTGCTGTGCTGGAAGCCGTGAGTGTTGTGGGAAGCGGTATAAGGAGATTGGATAAGCACCAACTCTCTGTTGCAAAGTGCAGCCACTGAGATCTATGTTCTTGTCATAGGATGTGTTGAACAGTTGAACAAAACAGCCTTTGGAATCCACCTGCTGTATCTTCACAGAGTTAGTTGCTCTAGAACAAAGGGAGAAAGACAACTATGATTGATCTGAGTTTGTGAAATGAATGTAGATTTTACATGCTACTGAAGGACTGTTTGGCACTGACCACTTAGTCTGTTGGTCAAGACTGGGAAGGCTATATAAATGCTTAGCACTCCGTGCTCAGATAAAGGCCTACCAGTTCTAATTCAGTTGCAGGGTTTCAATGTTTCAATAATGCAGGGAAGTAGATAATGTGGTCCAACTAATCTGTGTGCTGTTTGTATCTCATGCAACAGCAGAGACTTTCTAATGTTTACAGCACAGGAAGTTACTTTGCCCAATGTTACTGTACTGATCCTCTGCAAGAGAGACCTGGTCCCACTCCCCCGCCTTTTTCTGTCGGCTTGCAAATTATTTGTCTTCAGATAATTATCCAAAACTCTTTTGAAAGCCACATTTGAATATCCCTCCATCACATCCTCAGGCAGTACACTCCAGATCCTAATCACTGGCTACGTAATATGTTTCCATCAACTGCCATCTATCACTTTCATAATTTCAAAGGCATTCATAAGGTTATCTTCAATTTTCACTTTTCTAAAGAAGAAAACTGTAATCTGTTTAATCTTTCCTGAAAATTATAACCTTAGAGTTCTAGTAGTTCTTGTAAGTCTGTTTTGCATCCTCTCTAGCATCACTATAGTTGTTTCCTGTCAGATTGATCCCAGGTATATGGAGTTGGAAACTGTGCAAGCTTCTCAAAGTACCACACACAGACTCTCTCTCACACACAGGCACGCTCACGCACAGAAACACACACATAATAGATATCAGTCCAAGTTCATTATCATCATCACAGGACTGGATAGTGAAGTGGGCATCTCTTAATTTCTCTTGAGATTACATGTGAAATCAACAGCCTCCAGTTTTGAAAAAAATAGTCGGGACAAGAAACAGTAAGAAACTATCGTTAGCAGGCTTAGCAAAGTGTCAGATATTTGATCGTTTTATTTCTAAGCAAGCATTATGCATGAACACTTCTTTTAGAATAGTTCTTTGTATTGATACATTATCGCTTGCTGCTGCTTATCTTTGAACATATTATTTGATAGTTTGTAACTTAACGCATGCTGTGATGGAGCTTATTGTTGGGAGGTAATGAATTAGAATTAGCCTTTATTGTCACATATACTTAATGAGTACAGTGAAAAGTTTATACGTCACCACTTACAGTGCCGACTTTGGTACAAGGTACCTAGGTACAGCTTCTTTAGTTACAAGACTTTAGATGATAGAGAAATAAAATGTCCAGCATTGCAGAGATAAGAGTTCAGAACAGCAGACCATGCTGGAACCTAGCTTTCAGTCCACACCAGACCCTGCTCCAGACCATGCTGGGCTTCCCTTTGAGGATCATGAGGCTGGGCAATCACTTCAGACTGCCATGCCGGGCCAAGGGTGCCACACCAGGACGTTGCTACGCCAGGCTGGTAGATTGCCACACCAGGCTGGTAGGTCGCCATGCCAGGAAGCCACTGGGCCAGGCTGGGAGTCTTCGCCGGAGGGCTCGGAGTCGTCACTGGATATCAGGAATTGTTGGAGAGAATAAAAAATTAAAGAACTATGAGCAAGAAAAGAAGAAGAACGGGCAGAGTAGACAAGCTTCAGCTAGAGTGTCCCACTCTGCCGCCATCTTGAGAATATGAGACGGCCTGTCCATCAAAGGCAGGACAGCAGAATGCTAAAGGATGCAACAATGGTGGGGCAGGAGAACAGTGGGGTGCTGACCAATCACGGGATTGGAAAGCGCTGGTGAGCACACCAGTGGCAGGGCGGGACAGCACTGGTGGTTTCACCAATGGCAGGACAGGACAGCACTGGTGGATGCGCCAATGGCAGGGCGGGAGAGCGATGGTGGATGTGCCAATGGCAGGGCAGGACAGCACTGGTGGTTGCACCAATGGCAGGGCAGGACAGCACTGGTGGTTGCACCAATGGCAGGGCCGGAGAGCGATGGTGGATGCGCCAATGGCAGGGCGGGAGAGCGATGGTGGATGCGCCAATGGTGGGGCCAGCAGCACAGTTGATGGAAGTTGGTAAGATGAATTTCTGACAGACCCATCCCTTGGCTTTACTCCTGCTGATACCTGGATATTGCTGGGTTCCCATTTGGAGTCAGATCTGAAGAGTCCCAATTCTTCTCTGTTGACGGCTTCTGGGTGATTTGTGAATCTGTTAAAACAGGCAGATGTTTACTGCAGTGAGGGTATGGAGAATAACAAACTCTGATTCCCCGTGCACAGCTCGAGAAAACGCTGGGCAATATCTTTAAGACCCATTCACTATTTGTTAAACAGCCATATCTTTCCTCAGGTTATTGTCTGTGCTGTGAGGTGAGTAGAGCCAGCATTTCATACCTCACTGACCCTCTTTAAGACATTGAATGCTGGCAAGCTGTTAAATCAAGGAGGCTCCAGACCCAGCTGATCACATTTAATATACACAGATTGTAAATCATGCCTGTTCTTTCTCTCTTTTAGTTTTGGGCATTAAGGTGTCGGTCAACAATGTGGCAGTGACTCAGCATCAAGCAGTGATCAAACTGGAGGACACAGTCCCACACAATGTTTGCCAGACCCTATAACCATTGTCTCTAACTGAACAAAATTAGACAATCCATAACCAGGAAACATAACCAGCCAAAAGTGAATTCAGAAGAAGTTTCTTGGTGCAAGGAATGCAAGAATGTAGGACTTTCCAACATAAAGAATAGCTGGGAAACAGCAGAGATACACTTAGAGGAAAGTGGATTAAACACATGAAGGAGAAAGGAATGGTAAGATATGTTGAGATGAAAGGAATTGGATGGAGGCTGATGTAAAGTGTAGACATCACCACAGAATTGTCAGGCCACATGGCCTACTTCTGTGCAGTAAACACAATACAATTCTATATAATTCTGAGGGTACAAATTAGTGTCCACAAATTCAAACAGAACTCAAAAGCTGAAGTGGATATTTTACACATACCTTGCAGCTTTTTGCCCTGGACGGGTACAGAGGCTGGTGGACAGAGTGTAGGTTCAAATATTTCCATTTCAGAGTCCTGGGCAGTCCTTAACACCTTCCCCTGGTTCCCCTCCTGCTTCTGAAAGTACGGCCTTCCTCCATTGGATTCTATCTGTATTTCAGAACAATCTTCCTCCAAGCCTCTCCCAAACCAACCAGCCAATTCTTCATGTAATCTTAATTCATAGAAAGGAAGGGAATGTTAGCAACTTCTTTAGAGACTGCCTGACTGATAATCAAAGAATGTTCAAGCTCACTAATTGTGTCCCAGACGGTGTTGATTAAATCCTGCTTCTTTGAATGGTAATTGTGGTGTTGTCAGCAGTAGCTCGGTGTGTAACATTCTTGTTTCTGAGTCATAGATCTTCGGATTCAAGTTCCATTCCCAAATAATTAAGAATGTAAATCATCCTGAAATTCCCCGTGCATTGAAAGATTCATACTGAGGTTGCGGGGCGCTTACCAAGGAGGTGCTGCACTGTTGTGGGGCCCTTACTGAGGAGGTGCTGCACTGTTGCGGGGCCCTTACGGAAGAGGTGCTGCACTGGTGTGGGGCCCTTACTGAGGAGGTGCTGCACTGTTGCGGGGCTCTTACGGA